GTATAACATACACATAGAAAAGTGAACTAGTCCAAGTTAGACAGCTTGATGAATTGTCTCACTCAAATCAAGAAACACAACACCACGAACTCCCTGGAAGCCTCCCCACGTGCTTCTTCCCAATCACTATCCCTTTCTTTCTCCCAAAAGGTAGCTATTATCCTGACTTCCAACACAATAGTTGAGTTTTGCCTGTTTTTGAACCTTATATAAATGGAACCACACGGTATGTTTTCTTTTAACTAGTCTCTTCTATTCAACATGATTGTAAGATTCACCCATGCTTGCTGCATATGGATTTTCCATATGCATATGACCATTTTCATTGTCGTCTAGTATTGATCTGTTTGAGCATGCCACAATTTTTCTATATTACTATTGATGGACATTTGGACTGTTTCTAGTTTTTAATATATGAACAACGCTGCTTTGAAAATTGTTTATGTGTTCTTGGTGAACATATGTAGGCACTTTTGTGAGGTAGCAGAATTGTTTGGTCACTGAATATATTTTTATAGAATTTTAAAAAATGGGCACAGAGATCAAAACACCACATTCAATTTACCTGGAAGCAAACTGATTTCTTTTAAATAGTTTTAGTTGACTATTTTTCACTTTGTTTGCATATCAGCATTTTTAGTAATAGTCAATATCCTGTTCCAGTTATCTACTGCCATAAGTTGAAGACTGGGGACCATAAGAATATATTTGTGATTCATTCAGCAAATATTTATTGAGTGCCTCTCTAATAGGCAGAATTCTAAGATGACCTGTGCCCTTTGATAATTCCACCCACTTGAAGCATGGGAGAACTTGTTACTGTGATGAGCTAACACGCCCACGATGATGTTACTTTACATGGCAAAAGGGATTTTGCAGATATAATTAATGTAACTAATCTTAACATTGAGTTAATCAAAAAGGATTAGTGATTAGTCAGGCCTAATCACAGGAACTCCTTAAATCTGGGTCTAGAGGTCTCAAACAGAGGAAGTCTGGGATTAGAAGTCAGAAAGATGTACTGCTGGCCTGGAGAGAGCAAACACCACAGCTGTGAACTGCCCCTGGAGACTACAGGGCAAGAAACTACAGGCAGCCATCAGGAAATGAGCGGTCCCACCCACCAGCCAGCAAGAAAATGGGGACGCACCTCAGTACTACAATGGTAAGGAACTAAATTCTGCCCACAAACTTAACGAGCTTAGAAGGGGATCCTAGACTCCAGGTGAGAACATAGCCAGACAACACCTTGATGACAGCCTTTTGATACCCTGAGCAGAGAACTCAGCCACACTTTGCCTAGACTTCTGATCTACAGAAGTCTGAGTTATTAAGTGGATGTTGTTTTAAGCTATTAAATTTGGGGCAATTTGTTATGCATCACTGAATATGCCTCCTATATGCCAGAACTGTTCTAGGTACTGGGGGTGTAGCAGTGAACAAACCAAGACAAAAATACCTCCCTTCATGAAGCTTTCATTATACTGGAGGAGAGAAACAATAAAAAATATATATGTAAAATATATAGGGCCAGTCCCAATGGCCTAGTGGTTAAGTTCGGTACAGTCTGCTTCGGTGGACTGGGTTCGGTTCCTGAACTCAGACCTATACCACTCATCAGTGGCCATGCTGGC